CTGCCACAGGTAAAATTTCATTGGCATTAGTACTTGAATGCTAGGGAAGATTTTGCTTTTCCCATTAAGTCAACTGCCTTTTGTCCTTTATTTTCACTTAACACTTTTTGAACTTGTGGTAGAGGCTGTTAGTTTCAATTTACTCTCCCCCTTCTTAGATACAACACCAATTTTATTCCCAACAGTAATGCATCCAGCTTCAAGATTTTATTTCTGAGCTTCTCTTGTTGGGTGGGGTATGGAGAGAGAGATGTACTTGAAAGTGTTCTATGAGTTTCTGAGACTTTCAAGTCTTATAAGGGGAAGCTTTCTTCCTCTCTGCTGTCTAGAATGCAGATATAGTACTTCAAATTTCTGCAGCTATATTTGAAGTGGGGGTTAATCCAGGTGCGAGGGATACAAAAAATTCCTAAATTGCCAGAACCCTGGTGATATAAAGCTGAGCTTCACAAGTTCTGTATTGGTTAACTCTGGATTTCACTGACACACGGGCAAAATAAACATTGTCAATGTTATTACTTTTTCTGTTACATGGAGCAAAACAAAAAACACATTAAAATGTTTGTAACAGGGGCACCTGGGTGGCTCAGTCAGTTAATCTGCCTTCGGCTCAGGTCCTGATCTCAGGGTCCTGGGATCGAGCCTGAGTTACGGCGCCCTGCTCAGGGGGGGAGCCTGCTTCTCTCTGTTCTTCCCCCCGCTCTTGCGGTCTAATAAATAAAATCTTAAAAGAAGATGTTCTTGTAAATATACAGTAGTATCATCTTATCTGTGGGGGAATATGTCCCAAGACCCCGCAGTGGATGCCTGAAACCGCAGACAGTACTGAATCTAAATACACTGTTTTCTCCTATACCTACATACCTATGCTAGAGTTCAATTTCTAAGTCTGGCACAGGAAGTGATTAACAATAATAAAATGGGACAATTATAAACTTAGACTATAATAAAATAAATGTGGTCTCTATTGTACTGTACTCACCCTTCCTGTGATAATGTGATGTCAAAATGCTTATGTGATGAGACGAAGAGAAGTAAATGATGCAGGCATTGTGACGTAGCACTAGGCTACTGACCATCTGACGACAGGTCAGAAGGATCGCCTGCTTCCAGACTGCAGTTGACCTCCGGTTAACTGAAACCACAGAAAGTGAAACCCAGAGAAAGGAATACTACTGTAAATCCAGTTTGCAAGCTAGTGTTTTTTCCCTAGGGCCAAGAGAATTAAATTTTAAAGGTTATCAGTGGGGAGGTAGGGCAGCTTTTGTCAATCTGAGTAATGAATGTTATAAAATACAAACTATGCTATAATACATGGGAAAAATGAGAAGACACTATTTTAAAAAACAGATTGAATAACCACATATAAATTTTAAGAAATTATCAGTGAAATTAAAAACTCAGTAACTATACAATTCAAAAAGCATAAACCTAAATTGGACTCCCATTTGGAAAAACACAAGCCATGAAAGACATTTTCAGGAACTGTTGGGGAAACCTGAACATGGACCAGGTATTATGGAATTACTATTAATTTTCTGAATTTACTCAGAAAGTCTCACAGAGATGGAAAGCACAAAAGATGGTAAGGGAAACTTTACAACAGTACTTATCAAAAGTACTACTTATAGGGGCACCCGGCTGACTCAGTTGGTGGAGCATGTGACTCCTCATGTCAGGGTTCGAAGTTCAAGCCCCATGTTGGGTATATAGAGTACTTAAAAAATCTTAAAAGTAGTATTTATAATTAGTAATCTATTAGTAATTAGAAACACTTCATTTTTTGCCTTTTCAAAAAAAGATTTTATTTTAGAAAGATCACAAGTGGGGGTGGGGAGGAGGAGAGGGGGAGGAATCTCAAGCAGACTCCACACTCAAGAGTAGAGCCCAACTGGGGTTCCATCTCATAACCCTGAGCCGAAAGAGTCTCAACGCTTAACCAATTGAGCCACTCAGGCACCCCCCCCCCTTTTTTTAAAGCCAGCCTTATGCCCAAATGTGGGGCTTAAACTCAGGACCCTGAGATCAAGGGTCGTGTGCTCTACCAACTGAGCCAACCAGGAGTACCATGACTGTTTTATGAACCTCTTTTCCATAAAGCCTTACCTTCACACTGTTACAGAATGAATTATGCTGCTTTTTCACAGGAATCCCAACACATACACTAGGAAATCACACCAATTATTCCATGTATTCTAGTGTTTTCTTTTTTTCAAACTCCATCTTTGCCTATGTCTATTGGGGTCAAACATGAGAGGTCTGTATTGTAGGTAAGCCTAACAAATTAACTAGACTCCAAATGGGGTAAGGAAAAGCCTGTGAAGATTTAACTCACACTTGGCTTACTTACTGCTTTATTTCAAATCTAAGAGGACATCAATTGCCAAGATGTACCAAGAACAACTGAACACTGCCAACTCTTGACAATGTACTTGACAATCCTGCAAAATGCATGAATTGGTTATAGCAGCCTCTTTTTGAAATTTCATCAATCTGTTCACACTTCTCATTTGAATAAAACTGCTTTGCTTGTATTTGGTAGACAATTCCTTGCATTACAGCTTCTGGGCAGCTCCCCTGCATAGGTGCCAAGACATAACTTGGTTGCCACTTTGCAAGGAAATATGAATTGTGGCTATCCTTCTAAAAATTAGGATTTCCTTAAAAGTTTATATCCTGCTGCTTCTGTGTGCTTTTTTGTACATAGAAGTAACATTTTTATGTTGAACTATCTTTTTGAAGACACTACACAATTAAACTAATGCACACCAACAGCTATTATTAAGTTTCACATGTGGACAGGCAAAGACATGTCAGTGGCACTGCGGGTCCACCAGAAAGTGTAAGATGCCATGAATTGTTCAGATCTACTCCAATTTCAGAGAAGCTAAAATGTGAAGGAAAAAATGCACCCTAGAGTTAGGTATGGTGTCAGGCATATTTTCATGTTTTTATGTAAATTCTCACAACCATCAAGGGGACTTAGCTTTGTGATCCCATTTTTCAAGTAAGTTCAAATGCCTTACCCAAGATTCCCCATTGAATGAGTGCCTGGACCAGGATTCAGACCCACTTAACTATGCAAGGTAATTCCAGGTCTCCTCCCAACTTGTAAGAATTTAGAGACTGACTTGTTCCCAAGAGTTAAAAAGCACTATGCCAAACATGTGAAATGGTCAGTTACCAGTGTACTCTGTTGTTAAATACCTTGAGGGTGACCCAAATATGATCAATGTACAATTAAGCAAGAAATGCCCACCGAAGATTTAATTTGCTATCACTATTGCTTTCTCTGGTTTTGGTCAAATCTCCTCTTTGCTGGAGTCCCACAAGCTTTATACAAGGGAGTGAACTATGGGATAGAACATACCTCTGATGAGAACTTTGTGTAAAGAAACCTGAGTTTGAAGTTTCTAATTCAGTTAATTTCTGTTATTTTCCTTGAATGTGTTTAGCTTATGTAAACATTGAAGAAATGATTCTTTTAAGCTATAGCTATAATTTTATTCAAGGTAATTTAATGTCTTGTGAAGTTCAAAATTTATAAAATTGTATATATTGTAAAATAATAAATTGTATAATTAAAGTACATGACAGTAACAAGTCAGAAGGGGAAACGGGAGGAAAAGTGTTCTAATCCATTATCTTCCATTTCACGATCTAAAATCTCGAGCTCTTACCATCATATTCACGTCCCTTTCCTTTAAAGGTATTATTCAGAGGTTTATCATCACTTCTGCTTTCATTCCAGTCACAAGACTTCAACCTGGTTGCAAGGCTGGTTGGGAAAGGTCAGCGAGGAGGCGTAAGTACCCAGTTAAAACATAGGGATTCAATTAAAACAAATGAATAATATACAATGAGGAACAATTATCAGTTTTTGTGACATTGTCCTGAAGCCTGTACACAAAGTAAAAAGGAAAAAAAAAGTAAATTTACTCTCGGCAGTGGCTGAATCCCAGTTGCCAATCATTTCTAAATTCAAAGCGGACTATCCTGGTTTCCAAGCCAAGACTTGTTTTCTTGCAACATCTAGAACATACCAAGAAAGCAGGGGGTAGAGTGGATGTGCTAGAAGATAAGAAAATTGTGTATCATCATTGACAGAAATGGTGACAGCAACTCAAAACTAACAATATGCATTTCACAGCTAATTCAAAATAGACCAATCTGAACCTAAACTTGTGGCTGGCTGATCCAAGAAAACCTCTTAAAAGGGGTTTTTAGGCCAAAACAAGTAATAATAAGAACAAATCAAAGATTTTAACAAAGCTAAAGTTTGAAAAAGAGTTTTCCAATGTTCTTTTAATACATTTAAACTCTTACATTTACTGTCCTAGAAAGTTTCACACAGGATTATATTCTACTGAAGTAATAGTTTTGTCAAAGCCTACAAAGTTACAAAAGTACAGCAATTATACAAAATTGCTGACTCTGCATGAACATGAGGCACTTCAAATGCTTAGGTTTTAGTCTAGGCTTATTGGTTAGATTCAATCCTCTAGAAACAGGCTCACCCAAACTAGTTTCCTTTTTCTACTCCCTTAGCTCTATCCCTTTTCATATTTTATAGGACATCTACACATTTTCCCCCTTCCTCCTACCTTTCCTAAAGGGATAAGGCAACTTTCTAAGGGTTATATTTGACAAAAATACAATTAATCGAGACTATCTGAAGTAGCTTCTTACACCTGGGTTCTCATTCTCTTTAATCTGTTATACGTAACTCCTATCCAGGAACCAAGAGAAGACGCTTTTTAATTGCAAATAAAGATAAAAGCACATCAAGCTGTCACAAAAGGAATGTTTCTTGGGAACAGAAGGTAACATCTGGAGCATGTTCGATTAATCCAACTGTGCCTGCACTCCCGATAACCCCAGAGGTTATATTTGTAAATCAACAGTGCCCAACTTCACTTAAAAAATGTTACCTAATACTTAAAACACATATATAATCACTTTCATTAATGTAGGAATAATTTTGAGCCAATAAAGGAAAATAAATGTAAACCAAGTTTATTTTGCTTTTTAAGTAGTGTTCTTAAAGCACTACAGCTTGGTAAACAATGTAAATTAGTATAAGTCATCTCAAAAGCCAGAGTTTTGTTTTGTTTGTTTTTTAATGAGTTGTTAAAAAGATGCAGCCTATTCTAACAGGATAAATATTTTTAACCATTTCACTTCGAGTTAATGAAGGCTCACAAATGAGCAACACTCCTCATTGAGGAAAACAAAAAGCTGTTGTCGACAAGCGACAGCACACACACACAAACAAAAAGAACTGTGTAAAAATAACTAACTGTGTTCCCATATTTTTTGAAGTCGCTTTACAATGGGATGATATGCACATGATCTTGCTGCAAACTTGCCATACAGACTCGTAATACATGTAGTCTAGACAAACGATTCAGTCCATGAGGTGCTAACTTTAGACAATGCAGCACTAGAATCCTCTTAACAACGCAATTTGTTTTACTCATTACCTTTTCTTCTAGACTGAAATACAGGCTAGAAAGAAAATGCTCCCTAATTAAAAATTGGTATCATTTACAGGAAAACTGTGTAATTTTGCATTAGAATTTACAGGTATATGTTCAAATTGAATTTGCCTCCTCCCCCGTCCCAGCCACAAAATGGGCATGAAGTAAAATTTTTAAAAATGCCTTAATTTTAAACTTCATGCAAACTAAATAAAGATGATCAAAACAAAAGCTTAAACAATGGAAGGGTATTTCACAGAAAATTTCTTATACAAAAAACACATAAGAAAAAGGGCCACTAGGTGACATTTTAATTTACAAATTGGCATCATTTTGGTCGACAAATATCCAGATGCTGTTTTCTTCTGCTAACAAGAGTTGCGGGGGGGTGGGGTGGGGGTGGGGAACCCAACAACAATAACAAAAAAACCCAGCATGACTTCCGATTTTAATCACACATTTCTTCTGGAATTTCGTGTGGATTAAGGATGCCAGGGACAGACATTTGAAGTTTATGTTTCTCTTCCTGAGCCTGTCGAAGGGCTGTTTCTCTTTCTTCCAAAAACAGATCAGATGTATCTTCACCTGCAAACTCCTGTGAAAACAAGACAGTTGAAGTGTTAACATAGTAAATTCCAATTTTGGAAAATGACCTGTTGGGGGGGGACAAAAAAAAAAACCCATGTAAAAAGGATAGACAAGCACCTCCCTGTTTTGTTTACACAATGATAAAAATCTATCCTTCAACTGGTTGGGTTTAAATTATAGTGTGTGTGTGTGTGTGTGTGTGTGTGCGCGCGCGCGCACGCGCAAGTGAACGTATTTAAAGATTATAGGTATTAGAGAGAGAAAGCATGTGCTGGCATGCACAGAGGGGAGGAGCAGAGGGAGAGGAACAAGCGGAGTCTGTGCTGAGTGCAGAGCCTGACACCACATGGGGCTTGATCCCAGGACCTGGAGATCATGACCTGATCAAGGGTCAGATACTTAACTGACTGAGCCACCCAGGTATCCCTAACTTATAGTATATTGATATAATTCTGTATAGCTGAATTAAAACCAAAGGTGTTAGTAGTTGAGGATAAAAAAGGTTATTAAAGAGGCATAGTCTGACATCATATATATATAAAATACACTTCACAAGCCAGGAAATTTAAAAAGCTATTTCTCCTACGATTAATGATAAAGTTTAGCTACATTGTGATTGACTTTATAGTTGTTTCAGGTAATTTTCATTCTCCACCTTACAACTTAGCTAATATATTTACAATTGAAAAAACCTTATTTGTATCTTGGAGGAAAAAATGTGATTATTGCATGTGACCAATTCTTATTTAAGTCAGGTTAAGACAATCCATCAACCACTTATAGATGTTATGTTACTTTTAGATTTCTTTTTTTTTTTTTTTTAACATTTGTCAGAGAAAGAGAGTGAACGAACATAAGCAGGGGGAGCAGCAGGTTTCCTGCCGAGCAAGGAGTCCGATTCAGGACTCGATCCCAGGACTCTGGGATCATGACCTGAGCCGAAGGCAGACGCTCAACCAACTGAGCCACCCAGCCGTCCCTACTTTTAAATTTCTTTAAAAGAAAATAATAGAAGATGAATCCCTCTTCCCATGAATTTAAATGAAGCATTGTGTAACAGCAGTAGTAACAGGTTGTTTATCTGCTAATTTGTCTTAATTCCCTAAAATGGATTCCTTACTAACAAAATGGGTATGAAATCCCCAAAGGGTCTACCCGGTGTTTCTTTCCCCATATTTCACTTTTTTTTTTTTTTTTAAGATTTATTTATTTATTTGAGAGCGAGAATGAGAGAGAGAGAGTACATGAGAGGTGGGAGGGTCAGAGGGAGAAGCAGGCTCCTCGCTGAGCAGGGAGCCTCATGTGGGACTCAATCCCAGGACTCCGGGATCATGACCTGAGCCAAAGGCAGTCGCTTAACCAACTGAGCCACCCAGGCGCCCCCCATATTTCACAATTAAAAAAAAAAAATCAGGTGTAGGATGTAATCACAATATTCCAAGACATTTATATCATCTAAAATAACAAGTTTCCAAAAACATTTCAAATCCATTCTGTTCTCAACTACAATTTAGTTTTTCACTCTGACTCAGTCTAGGACTAGTAAACCTGAGTATCATTCATTTTGCTTTACCAAAAAAGTGGTTAATTCTACAATGCAACTAAATCATATCTAGTTTTACTATTTCTCCAAATATAAACAAAACACATACCTTTATTTGTACTAGGAAATCCCTAAGATGCTCCTTGAAAGCAGGAATATCCTGATTTAAGCTGAAAAGCCCTGTCACAAAGAGCTTTACTTGAGCACTGTAAATCAAAACACAACAATTAAATAATCACTATTTTTTTAACTGAAAAATGTATGCGTAATAAAAAGCGTATTTACTCTTGAAGATGAGGGAATGCAGATTTAAGGAGATTTGCCACATATTCCTGAATGAACATTTGGTTGTTAACTGGATTTCCAGGATTTAACGGTGTACTTATTTTTCCTTCTTCAACCAAATTAAACATATATGCAAGTATTGACGCATGCATTGTCAAACCTGTTGATAAAAAGAACATTATTACCTCCAACAGGTAATAACAACTGGAACACTTAACATTCTCATGGCTATAAATTCTTACCAGCAGTATGTGAGGTGTCTGTCACAACAGAAAAGATATGCTGAAGAATATCACAAAAATAAGTTTGATAGAAACTCTGAGCTGCAGCTTCTTCTTGTGCAACATTTTGTAAGAGTGTAAAAAGTATTTGTAAGCCTAAAATGTACAGAACACCAACAGTTATTACAGACTGCTAACATTCATATAGAATTTCCACTCTTCAACTATTCTGATTCAAAAGGCCATTCTTACCCACCTTTCTGCTAATGACTAACAATTATTTGCCTAAGTTATCTTGAGTAATGGGAGTTCAAATACCATCAATGCCTGCTTAGTTACAGACTACAAGTAATAATTACCAACTTTCCACTATTTCTGAAGGTTCTGTCAATTCTCTCCAAATCAACTTTAAAAACAGCATTACCAAGTACATATCTGTTACACAATCCGAATTCTATGTAAAAACAAACTAAATAAAAATCTCTCTTGCTGAAGATGTTGTGTTTTATCCTTATTTTAACCCTCACTGGCACTGAGGAAAAGCAGACAGGGAAAAGGAGACAGTGGTGAGGATGTGGAGAAGTGTTTTACACCCATCTCCCTGTAACTCAATTCTGCTGGTCGGCTCAACTATGGAACAGAGGACTCAACTCCTTTTAGAATTTACTTAGGCCTACATATGCGAGTGATGCACTCCAACAAAACCCTGATAAATGTTATCTACCTGACTATACCTAGAGATCTATCTCTAAGAGCCTGTGGATTGGTAGGGCAAATGAATAAAAGGACATGTGTATTTACCTGTATCTGCAACGTTCCTCATAGTATGTTTGAAAGCCCAAATAATGGAATCCAAAACAAGTTTAAATTGTGCAGGTGGTATAGCCAGGAATGCTGGGAAACAATGAGAATTGACAGCCTGAAGTAGTAAGAAAAAGTTCGTTCTGTGTTCAGGATATTCTTCAAAGTCCTAAAAACAAATGGTGAGGACAAAGTAATGTTTCAATACCTTAATTATGTTAAATAAGAGGGAAAAGTAAACCCTAATTTAGTATAAAGATTTGGAGTTGTTAGTGGGCCCCATAAGGTGTATGGCCTCATGACTGGAAACCTGAAGACAATATAATTTGCCTCCCATGGAAAATGAAATTAACCATTTATTACGCAAATGAATTACTAAAATGAACACAAGATCACATTACAAAGAGAATTCATCAAAACCCACATAAAGAACATCACATTTTCTAGTTACCCTGAGACTATTACTACCATGTTACGACGGTGACTTCAAGATCACGAATACAGACCCGAAAATTTCTTAGCTACTGAATAACTTGTACACGTTTATCTACATTTTCCCTTCTTGGTTAATATATTTTCCCATTTCTTTTAAGCACATAGTATATATATATATATACTTTTTTAAGATTTTAAGTTATTTCTACACCCAACATGGGGCTCAAACTTACAACCCTGAGATCAAGAGTCACATGCTCAGCCAGCCAGGTGCTCCATATAATAGACTTTTATAACTTAAAATGCACCATTTAAAGAAATTAGTATCACAAATTTTTTTTTTTTAAGATTTTGTTTATCTATTTGGCAGGGAGAGAGAGCACAAGCAGTGGAGCGGCAGACGGAGAGGGAGAAGGCGGCTCCCCGCAAAGCAGAGAGCCCCAACGCAGGGCTTGATCCCAAGACAGTGGGATCATGACCCTAGCCAAAGGCAGAGGTTTAACGATTGAGCCACCCAGGCAATGCAGTATTACTAAATTCTTAATGTTTAAAATGCAGCAACTTTTCACTAAATGTTAGCTATTTGAATGTTACAATCAAATTTACTATTTTGTTGTTGAGATCTTTTTATTTTTTTTTAAAGATTTATTTGCTTGAGGAGGGCAGAGTGCACGTGAGGGGGGGGCAGACAGAGAGAATCTTCAAGCAGACTCCCCACTGAACTCAAAGCCTGGACTTGGGGCTTTATTGCACAACCCGGAGATCAAGACTACCAAGAGTCAGACGCTCAACTGACTGAGCCACCCAGGCACCCCAAGATCTTGTACATTTTTTAAAAAATAAGTATTTCCAAGGTGCCTGGGTGGCTCAGTAGGTTTAGTGTCTGGCTGAGTTTAGGTTCCTGGGATCGAGCCCAAGTTGGGCTCTCTGCTCAGCAGGGAGTCTGCTTCTCCCTCGACCTCTGCCCCTCCCCCCACTCCAGCTTGTGCACTCTAAAATAAATAAAATCTTTAAAAAAAGGTAAATATTTCTGTTCTTGAAGTTCAAATATTTAAACTCCAAGCTTAAAACTTGTTAATCTCATAGCTATCATTTATGCTTTTAAGACTTAAAGGATATATACTGCAGAATTTCCCATAATTGAAATGTAAACCACATACCTTATTTATCATATTCAATGTGCATTCAAAAACAGCATCAAATATTTGAGGTATTTCAGCTGTTATATGTCCTCCTAACTTGTTGACAATAATAGCCATAGTACTAAGCACTTCTGGTTCTCTAGCAGCTGGGACATTTCTCTGATAATCAATGAGAACTGCATCCAATAGAGGAGGAACAAAATTTTCAGCTACCTATTAAAAAAAAAAAAACTTTTAAGTTTTATTCTATACACTTGCTAACCATTATAAACAGCTACATCAGTGTTGTATTGAGATTTAGGTTGCATATTTATTACAACTTTTTACCAAAGGAAACCAAGAAAGAAACCATAATAGGCTGAGAAGAGCCACAGACATGTTCGGAATTCAAATCTGTAATTACTAAGGTAACTGAGGCCCAAAATCAAGTGACCAGCTCCAAGTTACTGTGGCAGGACCAGGATTCTAGGGTTACTGTATGTGGGATAACTTACCTAAAGGAATGAAAAGTCCTAACTAATACTGTATCAATTCTGTCGATGAATAGTATCTATAATAAAAACCAAGCAGCTCATACCTAATACAAAGTAGACACCCATTCAATTATTATTTTTTTAAATTTAGTGAATGCTGGTAAGTACTTTAACAAAATGAATTGGAATTGTACCAGAAAGACCTTGAGTTTCCATGAGTATCAATAAGCAGGGTCATATTAAAGTGTAACTTACATGCTTTTAATAGGTTCACTGTTAAGACATGGACAATAATTACAAATAATGTTTCTTATAACTGAAGTTAACAGTGTTAGTAGTGTCCTACTATACAAAATAGGCCTAGTAAAATTTTAAGGATAAGCACATTATTTTTCAGATAACTCACTTGTTCTGTTAGACCAGAACTGTTTCTCATTTTACTCTTAAGAGTGCAGTAATTGTTTCCCCCACAAACTGGATCGTGTGTTTGAGTTATTTTTTAATTCACTGCCCCAACCCTCAATACAAATCTTGGTTGTAAAATGATACCCTCTCCTTGCTATTATCACTGATACTCCTAAAATCTGCCCAAGCTATTGTAAATTATGAACTTCACAATTCCTTTAATTCATCTTATCTTCTCCTTTCAAATTTTAAATATAGTTCTGATCTCATAATACATATGTTCAAAACCTTTCAATATTTGATATGTTGAAAACTCCACAACTGGTTTCTGAACAAGTTCCCTGAAAAGTATCTCATCTGTAGGAACAATACTGAAATTTCAAAATTATCAAACAGCACACTTGTCAGCCACTATTTGCTTAGAGCAAAGATTAACGTGACAGGATTCTTTGTAATATTCTAAGGATCAAGAGAATGAAATGGTAGAATAAATTAAAAATACAAACTTCAAAAACATACTAACACATTTTCCCAAGTTGAGGCATATATGGAGCCTGGTTTAGTTTCTGAAAATCATTTTCCTTTCTGGAAATGATTTAAAACTAAAAGAAGAGTAAAACAGACTTTTAAAACTTCCACTGGGAAAGCCCTTACTTTCACTGCAGAGGCAAACTAATGACAGCTTTGTAAAATTGTTCTGAAGACTCATGAAGAAACACAAAAAATTTCATTGGAATGTATCTATTATCCATAGGGGGAAAAAATGACTCAAGCTACCTTGTTACATATCACTACTGTCCCCCACTAACACTAATTTCTTAGGAAGATGGTGTATATGATAATATTTTCAAGTATTCAAGGACTCTAAAAAAAAGGACACTGTAAAATAATGCCAAACATATCCATCCACTGAAATTACCTTTAAATGAGCTATATGCTTATTATCAGAGAATACAGCATCAACTTAAAAAGCATAACGTTTCACATACCATCTGTGGATCATTGGACCGGCTCACCCAACCAGATATTAACTTTAAAGTTTCCCTTTTTACTGTTCGCATACTTCTAATCAATGGTTGCTTTGTAACCATCTCACCTAAAAAATACAAGCCAGTGAAATCCAACTTGACAACTAAAATTCTACATTGGTAGTTACATATACTTCAAATATAACAGATCTCATTTACCACTCAAAAACATAAAGACAAGGGCACACAGATGAAGGTACTGGGAAAATAAACTAAGACTAATTTTACAAGGGAAAACTGTATGCAACTCTTTAAAAATAATTGTCTGGGGGGGGGGGCGCCTGGGTGGCTCAGTTGTTAAGCGTCTGCCTTTAGCTCAGGTCATGATCCCAGGGTCCTGGGATCGAGCCCCGCATCGGGTTCCCTGCTCAGCGGGAAGCCTGCTTCTCCCTCTCCCACTCCCCCTGCTTGGGTTCCCTCTCTCTTGCTGTGTCTCTCTCTGTCAAATAAATCTTTAAAAAGAAAAAAATTGTCTAGGGTCATTTGGGACATTGGGAGGGTTAACTTAAATCTGTGAGAAATAAATGCTTACACTAAGACTGTGAATGTAGAACTGACTTGCTATTCACCATTCCAGCAAAATTCAGAATCACTTACCATTAGCTTGGATAGCTGCTGAAATATTTTCACTGAGGCACTTGTATACATTAAGCATATCTAAATAAATTCTCCCAAGCTGAATTACAAAGGGATGTCCGACAGCTTTGCAGGCTCTAACATTTGTTTTCAATATACTACCGAGCTGCTTAACTGTTTCAGGATCTTTAAGTATATCCACATTCTGTGAAGGACAAATAACAAATTTCATTTATCACATGAAAATTATCTTTGTAATTACTAAAGCAAAAAACACTACCCACACCTTCTCCAAACCACCATCACATTTATAATCCAAAATAGTAAAACGAAGAAATCTTTATTACCTACAGGTACAACTAAGAATAGAGTAACAGTCCCAATATACCAGCAAAACAATAAAATTATAATATAATATCTGCTACTTTTGTAAACATTGTCGTCTTGAATTCCATTAGAACTTTGAGAAAAAGTAGTAAAACTTACTTTGGTTGCCTGCTGGATTATGCTATCCCAAACCTGATTAGGGAGTAGCATGTATTTTTCTATCAAGTGTTCTTGTACTGTTTGGTCTGTTTGTGCACCAATCATGTACCCCACAGCTTCATAAAATGTATGTACCTATGTAAAAAAGCAGACATTTTACTTTTATGCATTATAAGGAAAACTACACACAAGCAATTCACATATGTATTAGAACTTGTTTTGTGAGTCTGAGAAGTAACTTACATTAGGTAGGAAAATAGCCTGACAAACTTCTGCGTAAATTTTTGCCCCACTATGAAAATTTAACCACTTCGGGGGGGGGTGTAAAATAGGTGATGGGGATTAAGGAGTGCACTGGGTGATGTATGGAACTGTTGAATCACTATATTATAAACCCAAATCTAATTTAACACTGTATGTTAACTATCCTGGAATTAAAAAAAAAAAAAATTCAGCCACAGAGACACGTGTACTGCGTCCAACGGTGGCACTCTTTCTATTGCCATTCATGAATTCTGGGTAAAATACTAGTCACGGGGCTCCTGGGTGGCTCAGTTAAGCATATGATTCTTGGGTTTCGGCTTCGGTCATGGTCTCTTGGTCCTGAGATCGAGCCCCGCCATGCCCCATGTGCATTCTGTCAAATAAATAAACCTTAAAAAAAAAATTAATCACGTTTTTGGGGGGGGGGGGGGGGAAATTTTTTTTTTTTTTTTTTTAAGATTTTATTTATTTATTTGATAGAGAGAGACACAGCGAGAGAGGGAACACAGCAGGGGAGTGTGAGATGCGGGGCTACATCCCAAGACCTGGGATCATGACCCGAGCCGAAGGCAGACGCTTAAGGACTGAGCCACCCAGGTGCCCCGGGGGTAGGGGGTGGGGAGAATCTTAAGCAGGCTCCACACCCAGTGTGGAGCTCAATTTCATGACCCAGAGAACATGACCTGGGAAAAAATCAAGAGTTGGACACTCAACTGACTGAGCCACTCAGGAGTCCCAATACTATTCACTTTCTTAAAAAAAATATGCTCAGTGCTCTACATACCTGTTGAGGCTGAAGATCACAAATTATAGTGTTGATATTGTTCAAAATTTCATCAATAAATGGCATTACTTCTCCAACCTGAACCTGAACAAAATGCCTGCGGCATTTCTGAGCTATTTTAATGAAAGTATCACAAGCCATGTCTTGGACTCCATCATGGGTCTCTAATGAAACAAAAAGAATTTTCAAAAAATTTTTAAGAAAAATTTTGGTTTTTGTTCAATAAGTATAAATAGCTAAATAATATATATTAAAGAGGATTTACCATGCATGAATTCAAACAACTTGTTAACGACAGTCTTCAAAAACTTCCAGTGAGCTCTTAAAAACCTTGGATATTGACCTACTATGTACATGATATTTGATGCAATAATAGCTTTATTATCTTTGCCTCTTTTCTGTTCACATAATCCTAATAGATCCTGTAAAATGAGAGTAATTTCAGTCATTTATAATACAATATAGTTACCTAACAGTTCCAGCGCATATGTATCACTTGCATACCTTTATAACAGTAACAAGAAAACGTTTTTCATCCTCTTCATGCATTGCTCCACTAATGGAGCCTATTGCCCAACACAATGTATTCAAATTTTTCCATGACCACTCTGTACCATTCACTTGATTGTGAAGCTTCTCAGTCATTATTCTTTCTGTATCTACATAATCCAGATGAGTAAGATAAACTACAAAGGAAGGGAAAAGGTTCCAAAAGTTCAAATACAAAACTCTACAATCAAAAATATTTAGTAAGAAGTAACAGCACATTAATAAAGGTGGTTATTAACAGATTCAGAAAAGTATAACATATTTCTTTAAAAAGTATTTCCATCCCAGAAGAGAATTACAAAGATAAAATTGACAGTATTTATTGACTCACCTAATGTTTCTCTCATATTCTTATACAAATTAATGGAATCTGTATCCTTCATGAATTCTCTTACAACTTCTCCCTGATCATTTTCTACAACCAATACTTCCTCTGGTTTAGCCATACGACTAACCATCAATAAACGGACCTACTCAACAATAAACAAGAAAAATCTATTACATTTTTGAAATCAGCCACATCAAATGTAGGAAAAAAAATTAAGATCAAGCACTTCACACTTTAGACCAACCTACCCCCATAATTGTTCCCACAATATAAAAGAATATAAACATTTAAAAAATGTAATTCAAGGGGTGCCTAGATGGCTCAGTCTGTGAAGTGTCTGCCTTCAGCTCAGGTCTTAATCCTAGGGTCCTGGGATCAATGAGCCTGCATCAGGCTCTCTGCTCATCAGGGAGTCTCTCCCCCTCTTCCTCTGCCCCTCCCCACCACTTGTGCTCACTTTCTGTAATAAATAAATAAAATCTTAAAAACAAGTAATTCTACAATTGTTTTCAAATGTTCTTTATCATGAATAAACTAAGTTTTCTGTGTCTCATCCAGAGACTGACTCAGCAGATTGGTAGGTGATCTCTTAATCTGCATTTCTAACAAACTCACTGGAAGTGCTGACGCAGTCTACTTCTATGGACACACTTTTGAGAACCATAGTTCATTTTTTTTTTAAAGATTTTTATTATTTGTTATAGAGAAAGGGTGTGCATGCACAAGTAGGGGGAGTGGCAGGCAGGGGGAGAAGCAGACTCCCCTGCCGAGCAAGGAGCCCGATATAGGACTGATGTGGGACTTGATCCTAGGACCCTAGGATCATGACCGAGCCGAAGGCAAACACTTAACCGACTGAACACCCAGGTGTCCTGAGAACCATAGTTCTTAAACCAATCCTTTTCAATCTTCTAGCTTTGAACATAAATGGAGAAGTTGCTGGATTCTCTTTTTGTAGCTCTTTTATTTGGATAGATTATAAAAGCCGAAATAAAATAAAAATAAAACCCACTACTTGTATTTCGTCTTCAAAATCACAGCAAGGAACAGACACAGCACTCAACCACCCACTTTATTATTACCTTGGATAACACGGGCAAATACAGCTGTCTCCTGGGAGGAACATCAAAATGTTGACTTCCAGAGAGCAATGGAGAAGCAGATGTTGAGAATGGGCTCTCTCTATAGAGTTCAGCTGCCAAATGATTCCAGTACTCAAGACAAATCTTAAAGATTTCAGTTTCCTCCACTTCTGATACCAACAACATATAATGAAGGGCCTACAAAGAAGACGAACAGTATTAAAATAATCCTTAGACATTAGTATCCTACCACAAATTGCCTTCCACTTGTTACGTTAATAGGATAAAAATCCATGTTTCATTTCACACAACTCTGAGGTTTGAGTATTCATCTAATAGACTTAAAATTCTCAACAAGCAAATTGTGCTTTCTTCAGACATCTCCTAGAACATTTAAAAACTTTATGTAGTCGTTGGCCAGTATGTATGTCAATTAAGTTCCCTAAAAAGGAATGGACGGACATTAAAGGACATTTGGTACCAACATTCAAAAGGTGTAAACAATCCCAAATGTCCATCGACTCATGATTGGGCATACAAAATATGTAACCATACAATGGACTGTTATTCAGCTGTTAGAAGAGATGAAATAATGGTACATGCTACAACATGAAAGAACCTTGAAAGCATGCTAAGTGAAAGACGCTAATTACAAAAGACCATATACTAGAAGTCATTTATATGAAAGGTTCAGAATAGATAAAATCCATAGAGCATATTGGTGGTTGGCTAGAGGCTGGGGGAGAGCAGAATGAGGGACTATTTTAATGGGTACATTATTCCTTGTAGGTGAATGAAAATGTTTTGGAATAGATGACAGTTGACAATACTGTGCATGTCACTGAAATTGTACACTTTAAGATAGACAGTTTTATGTTATATGCATTATACCTTAGTTTTAAAATAACATCTTAGACTTTTCATCTCAGAAATGTCTGAATACCCTTGAGGAATTTAATTTTGATTATCAATTATTGATCTGGCATTATGCAGAACATACAATCACATAATCAAATTCGGCTTGTAATTCAGAATGAACATTTTTATGCACTGACAATAGGTAAGAAGATGTCAAAGGTACATTTTATTTTTTTTTAAAAGATTTATCTCAGAGAAAGAGTGCGCGCATGCACAAGCGCAAGCATAAATGGAGGGGAGGAACAGAGGGAGAAGCAGATTCCCCACTGAGCGGGGAGCCTGATGGACAGAGATCACAACATGAGCCTGCCAAAAAGGTAGATGCTTAACGGACTGAGCCAGCCAGGCGCCCCAAAAGTACAGACGTTTAAATAAAAGGTAGACATTTTAGAACGAAGGCATTTTTAAAAAAAGCTTTCATTATATAAAAGAATTTCAGAAGCCAAAGGGTCCACAAAGCCTACCTCCATAAGTGTTTCCCTGAGATTTAACCTTTTCTCTATAAGTTGACCATGTTCCTTTAGAAAGGTGCAGAGAAACAAACTGAGATTTTGAATAAAGTTCTGTTCATCATCTTTTCCATTTGAGTATGCAAGTCGAATATTGGTATTTAAAGGAAGCATCTACAAATTTAAATATGGACCATTAGTCTGCATTCTAAAACCAACAAAAGGTATTACCTTTATTTATTTTTTAAAAAAATTTTATTTATTTGACAGAGAAGAGACACAGCGAGAGAGGGAACACAAGCAGGGGCAGAGGGAGAGGGAGAAGCAGACTTCCCACCGATGGGGGGCTCGATCCCAGGACCCCGGGATCATGACCCGAGCCGAAGGCAGATGCTTAACGATTGAAGCCACCCAGGTGCCCCAAGGTATTACCTGTAAATACTAAGATTTCGTCACCTTGTTACTAATATTATAAACCACAGACTTGAATAGATTATTCTTCACTAGAAATCCTTCGTTTGTTATAGTATTTTTGTATTCTAGCTTTTGAGTTTTTAAAATGTTACAAATAGTAAGATTTCTACAAATTCTCTCAATTTTTCCCTGTATCAGACTTTTCCTTTCTTAGTATTATTAAAAACAAAGAAACTCAAGTAATTCATTGGAACACAAACACATACTGTCATGCAGTATTATGGTTAACATTCTCAATATATTATTTCATATGTACCTAAATCAAGATTATAAATGGACATTTCTAATTCATTTCAGATGCAAAGTCAGAAGCAGAGCTAATATCAAAACCCAAGGTTTCCAAGCTTCTAAATTCTATGTGAAGAAATTACTATGATACTCCCAGAAACTTTATTTCAAAGAATTTTCAAAATGTTCACTAAAATTTCTACCTGATCTGATTTTACGTAATAAACATACAATCACATTTTAGCTGATTTGTTATAAATCGTTGTAACAAAACGGTTCAACTCCAACCCAACTTTTTTTTTTCTAAGACACTAAAATTGTTTAGTCAGTTGTTAAGAGTGTTGTATTACCTGTTTTAGCTGCATCATTGTCAGTGTAAAGAGCGTTACAAATTGTTCCTCATATTGGCTTACACTCACACCAGCAATCTCAGTGAGGCACTTCAGAGAGACATTTCGAAACATTGGAACATTCAGGAACTATTATAAAATTTTTTAAAAAAGGAAGCATAAAATTAAATGGCATGTAATACTTTACTTAACAATTAAGAAAAATAAAGGTTTTAACAATAAGGAACGTAAGAGGGAAAACACCAAATAAATGGATGGTATTCTGTTCTGCACATAGATTTTGAGGAAATTTCATTCTCCACCCAATAGACAGTAAATGCTTTAGGAGCAAACTGTGCTTCCTCTGATGTGTCTTCAGACATCTAAAAAGAAAGTCCCTTGGTAACTTTCCCAGGAACCATTACATGACTTTTAAGAACACCATGTTTTATGTGTAGTCTAATAAAGACCCAAGATTTAAAACTGCTTAGGATTTTAGGAGGTGGGCAATACGTAAACAAATGTATGATAAAACTGGCTCTTTCATTTTCTATTGTTGAGAAGGTATAAAAACAGCATACCATTTGTGGATGACAATTTGGTTAAACATCAAAAACCTTAAAAAAATGGATATGCCCACTGGCCCGATACTTACTCTACGTATATAAAAGTTGTGTTACTTAATAATAATGTTTTCTTTGCAGTACCACTGACAATAGCAAACAGTTTTATAAATTGTCTACCAATAAAGTATCTCCGATATTGTAAATTCACGTATTTATTTGTATTACCTCATCAAGCCCTGAATTATAAAATCTCAAGTGTTAAGTTAAAGTAAGTCTCAATTAAGCATACAAATTTGTTCCTTCTATCCAGCAAGAAAGCATCTGCAAAGATAATACAACCAATTGGTAACTGGTGAACTCTGGATGAACAATTATTAAGACTTCATGTAAGTATTATATGCTACTGCTTTAGAAAAAAGGGGGGGGGGCAGGAAAATACCGAGACCTTCCACTTTATAAAAACATTCCTAAAATCAAATCCCTTAACAGTTGTTCACGTGGAATTCCTGAGATTTTTGACACCATTTCAAAGAATTATTAGCTGAAACTAAAGAAAAGTTCTTCTGAGTAGTTAATCGTCTTAGAAACAACACTGGTCATACCTACAAATGCATAATGCTTTTTCTATAGCTAAGAGCATTACAAATTAATAATATATGCAACTATCCAGTGATAAGAACTGAGATGTATACACACACTATACCTTATAAATTAATGTGCTGATTAACTTGGTCTCAAAAATATATCCCAGTGGAATCCAATTAAGAAATCTGAGCAATGTTTCCAAAGTGGCATGTACAAGTGGAGCATTTTGGGAATTTTCCTGTTAACAAAAACACATCTGTAAATAATCCTCTTCCCATAATTGTTACTTAAAAAAAAAATGAAATCAAAAGCACTTACCATCACAAACTGACACAGCTGAAAAATTTGGGAGAATTCATTGCACATGCTAAAAAAAAAAGTTATCAGTTTAGAAGATACACAGAAATACTGTAATTATTTACATACTAACAAAATTACAAAAAATTTCACCAATCTTAGTCATTAAAAACTTGAGTCACTTCTTTTTAAACACAAGTATCAGTAACTTCATCAAAAGCTACGAAGTTGCTAAAGCTATCTGTAATATCACTCTTTCAAAGCTTACCCATAAAAAATGTTTCTAAAGAGCATATAATTTCACTTTCAGGTTTGTTATCCTTACTAATCTGAAATAATTTAATCCACCTTTTTAAAAAAGATTTTAAGTAATCTCCACCCACAAAGTGGGGCTTGAACTCATGACACCAAAGATTAAGAGTCACATGCTCTATTGACTTAGCCAGCCAGGTGGCTTCCATCAATTTTATTTCAACTATCTTCTAAATCAAGATAGTTGAAATAAAACTCTTCAAACTAAGAGAGTAAGAGAGGCAGCATTTTCTATATATGTCCCAAATCCTATAAACTGCTTATACCCGGAAACAGAGGCAAAACTGTAAATTCTGAAATTAGTTTGAATATATAAAGGTGAAATACTGCTGTGCCCTAATGATTAGAACAAATTTTTATTCCTAAGGGAAAGAAAATAAAGTGGTATGTTCCCAAGACGCAGGCCTGGTAACAATTCAGTTGACATTTGGACCCAAGTCACCTCCTTCACTTATATTTAAGTAGCCACCATCTAAAAACAGATCCCAAAGGTTTCTGGGAACGCCTGACCTATATCCCTTTTGCATGAGATGTATAGTTATTTTGCTGTGACAATGAATTATGACATCCTATCTTTATCACCACACATACTTTTCAAGCCTCCAGATTTAGAATATTAGGTCCACTCTAGGACTATTTAAATTTCTACTAAAAAACAAAAGTAATTTAACATATTAATGATCACAGTTTCTCAATAAATTATAATCAACCTCCCAATTTCTTTAAATCTTCTCAGAAATAACTTAAAAATTCTAAAGCAAAATAGAATTACTTGCCTGTCTTTTAAATGCTTAGCTTTCACTTGAGTTATCTGTCCACTAGAGAAATCAAATACTTCTTCACTCAAGAGTTTAAGAATCACCATATTATTCTGACAGAGACTTTCACTGGTCCTACTTGCTCCAACAATGTCACTGATAAAAGTTGGCCAGTGTTTTGGCCATTCTTGTTTTAGTATCTAAAATAAGATAAAAAATGTTAATTTCACTTCTCAATGGCAAAACAAACTTCAAAGTTGTGTGATGCTGAAAGCAGGAGCAAATACACCCACTTTTCATTTTCTCCCCCTTGATTTAGAGAGTAAATGTGCCATCCTCTATAGAATAAATTAGGTGAAGTGTAACACAAGATAAAGTATTTGGCCTCAAATGCCCAGGACTCCTCTCAGTTATCCCAGCTGATAGATCTAGTCTGGTTCTTTCTTCTGTTTTTTATTAGAGATTTTATTTTAAGTAATCTCCACACCTAATGTGGGTCTTGAGCTCTCACCCTGGAGATCGAGAGTCGCTTGATCCACCAACTAAGCCTTGCTCTAGGCTGTTCTAAAGTACATGCCTATCAACATTAGCCAGATACAGATGTTTAAGTTTAAATTATCCTAAGTAGACTCAAAGATAAAACTCTAAGCAATAAAAAGGTGATGGGCAGGGAGAGGCATTTTCTTTGGGTGGAATCTGAGCCCTGAAATATAGCAGCTATTCATATAAATTTGGAAGACAGACAGCATTACAGTTGGGGATGGAATCATCTTTCAAGTCTGTACTGTAAAATTTGTACACATTTATATACATTATATACTTGTATATATATTTTGTATACCAGGTTTTCCTATCCAGATTATTCCCTAACTGTACCTGTTAATAAGAGGTAACTAATTTCTTTGTACTCCTCCCTCATCCCAAAGATAGGCTAACAAATGTCCTCAGTATAAAAGCCAGTGTAACTTAGTGAAAACCCAAATGTTCTCATAACTTACTAAATAGAAAAATCTACTTTTTTCTCACATACTAATTAATGTTCCCAGGACAATTTTTGTCATAAAAAATATGTAAATATAAAAATTTTGAAGCTGAGACTATTTAGAAAGTTTGAAAAACAGACTAAGTATAGAAATCAATGTAAGGAATGCTGAATTCAAAGGAATGATTTATGAATTAAAATGTAGATGACATGGAAAGGAAATATGCAGTCAACAGGCAAATGAGAAAATTTTAACATGTCTGATCCATATTGGAGCCACAGAAAATTTACAATTTCAAATGTTAAATAGTAGCTTAACTATTATAGTTACTGTAAAAATTATTACTGCAAGATGTTAGTCTAGTTATTTGATAAAGTAGGTCTGAATGTTTTGTTCTAGTAATCAGCCTAATTGAAGCATTTAATTCTTTCAAGGAAAACAACGAATCAAGTAAAAGCTTACCTGAACAAGAATCATATTTAATTTCCCAATATACACCTTTTCCTTCTAAGAAAAGAAAAAAGTTTAGATTAAAACGAAGTCTAAAACAGGTATAGTAAGAATATAAGCTAAGAAATCCGTCTGAGAAATATTACAGATCTACTGTAAATGATTGTGCTTACGTTTGTATGTCTGTGATGTAAGTAGATTTAAGTTGAAGATTCAGTATATAAATGATTTTACATTCTCACACTTTAAATGATCTTACCTCAACACAAGTTGGGTCAGATGACGTCTTGATAATGAGGCCAACAACGTATTTTTTAATTCCTATTAAAAAAAATTATTCAACACTTTCATAGCATGCCAATAAATCTTCAGTAAGAAAAAAAACGGGGGAGGTGAAGGTGAAAGTAAAGTCTGATAATAAACCCCAATCCCATCGGCGGCAACACTGGCATTTTTTGAATGATGCCAATCATTTTTGTGTACTATTCCTTTAAACTTTAATTTTTGTTAACTTTACAAAATACACTTAAAAATTACAAATTATCTTCTAAGATATTTTTTAATCCTATACTAGTAGTTAAGTACACCAACATCTAATTTTTTAAATTAAAAATACAAGGGACTATGTGGTTAACTAAATACACACATAAACTCATGTTTATGGATTAAAACTACAAAATCCCTGAAGATGTAATTTTGTAATAAGCATAAATAAGAAGTTTATGTAAAATATCTCTAAATCAAGATCAGATATTGTTATCCTTTTCCAATTTAATTATAACATTAAAGTAATCCTGGAAACAGGATTTTAACTTGTCCCACACTACAATACAGAACAACAGTTAAGGAGAAAGTTTGGTTTCTAATGTTATTTACTTAAAGGATATTTTAATAGTACAACCTATTCTTAACTTATTTAACGTGGGGATGGGGAAGCCTCAGGCGCACGCACCAGAAGGAGAGGAAGAGAGACAATCTTTTTTTATTTTTTTTTAAGATTTTATTTGGGGCGCCTAGGTGGCTCAGTTGGTTAAGCATCTGCCTTTGGCTCAGGTCATGCTCCTGGGATCAAGTCCCGCAACAGGCTCCTTGCTCAGCTGGGAGCCTGCTTCTCCCTCTGCCTCTGCCTCTCCCCCTGCTTGTACTCTCTCTGTCAAATAAATAAAATCTTAAAAAAAAAAAAAAGATTTTATTTGTCAGAGAGACACTGAGCACAAGCAGAGGGAGTGGCAGGCAGAGGGAGAAGCAGGCTCCCCACGGAGCAAGGAGCAATGTGGGGACCCTAGGATCATGACCTGAGCCGAAGGCAGACGCTTAACCAACTGATCTGCCCAGGCGTCCTGACGAAAAGAGAATCTTAAGCAAGCTCTATGCCCCGAGTCAGGCTCCAGGCTCAGAGCAGAAGTCTGCTTAAGATTCTCTATCCCTCTCCCTCTGTCCCTTCCACTCAAGTGTGAGTGCACGGGTGCTCTTTCTCTTATAAATGAGTAAATCTTTTACAGTAAGAGCTGGATGCTTAACCGACTGAGGCACCCAGGCACCCTGGTCCCCTTAAGTTTTAAAGTTATATGGTACACCTACATTAACATACCCACCAATGGGTTTGAGAAGTAGGATCCCTAAATAACCAAATTCTTATTCCATACTATATAAAGACTACTCTCATATTTATTTAATTTAGCTTTGCTACCAAATGATCTATGAAGATCTTCTTTCAGACCTCTGGAAATACAGTTAAAGACTTTCTGGAACTATGTCCCCCAAGCCTTATCTAACCAATCTGGAACTCTGGACTCAAGCTTTCACGGAGAAGGGATTTACCCATAATAATAAGCAGGAAATACAGCCAACATGAAGGTAATAAAATACTGATTCGACTGTAAAACTACCTTAATAATCTTCATGTGCTGAAGTATTAAATTTATTCCCATTCATTTGCATTTCAAGCAAAACTGCCCATTTCCTTTCATATTCCAACTAACTAAACACTTAAAAACACTAACTACGAAAATAATTTCCTTAGTGTGGAAAAACTTTATTAGCACAATAAAGTCACATAATGAGGGTTATTCATCAACTGAAAATGTAATGTCAAGTGGTATCAATAGTCACAGTTAAAGCAACACTAAAAACTGCTAGGTGCCAAAATTTAACTGTTACATACCACCTAATGTAAACTATGTCATTTACATTTTGAAAAGTTAGTTCTACTAGGCAAAGTCCACAATACTAAATATTGCAGACAAGATCCACCAATGAACACTAAAAACAATGGGCAAACCTTTCAGAAGAAATTAGACACCAGTGTAGTCTCAAATTACCTTCCCAAGATCATCTGAGGGAAAAAAACCTACGTTAATAAAAAATACTTAAATGTACTGACATTATGTGCCCTATGTCTTAGTGGCCTGAAGACACCACATCACTGCGGTATCTTGCCAAAAACCATGGAACCTCAGCCTTATCATGAGAAAGCAGACAAACCTAAATTGAAATACACTCTACAAAATAACTGACCAGAACTCATCAAAAGTATCAAAGACCTATTAAGCAGGGATTAAGAACTGTCATAGATTAGGAGACTAAAAAAGACCCAACTAAACTGTTAAACAGAAAAGGGTATTAGAGAGAAAACTTTTGAAATCTGAATTAACGCCCATAGTTAATAGTACTGACCAATGTTCATTTTATTGTTTTGATAATTTTATTATGGTTGTAGAAGTTGTTAATATTAGAATAAGGTAAAAGGTGTTAGGTGCATTCTGTATCTTTCAGGGAACATTTTTACAGTCTATAAAATTATTTCAAAATAATAAAAGAGCCTCTGTGGACACAAAATCAGGTCTAGTTTGGGTAAGGCAGTAAAAAAGGGGAAACAATTAGGAGAATCAAATTTATTTTTAAAAGAGTGCTTCTGTACACCTAAAATTAATGACAACTACGCATCAATTTTTAAAAACAAGCTAAATTATACCAGTTATTTAGGGCAACCCACAAAATAATCCCACATGTCCTCAATATCCAGAAGACTTAACCAAAACAATTCTATTGCTAGCCCTTCCTTTCTTCACACATAAATTACTATCACTAAGGCCTCTTTAAAAAACTGAGGAAATGGCAGTTCTAAACAAATATAGAGTAATAGGCATCCCTCTGAAACCTCTTAACACAGGAAACACACAGCCTAAAAACAAAAATACTGCCTTCTCAGATTGAATGAATGACAATACCATACAATGAGAGATTTAATAGTTTTCTTCTTAATTTGTAATAAGGAATGAGGACAATGTCTAAAACTACTACTGCTACTTCTAGTTGGAATATATGTATTTGGAGGCTTTTTTCAGCCTCAGAGAATAGGAAAATAGGATCAAACAGATCCTTCAACTCTTCTGTTACCAATTAAATCAATTAAGTATCTTCTCCCTCTTTTTCAGAGGCTTCTGAAGTTCACCTGTAGATGGAGCAAAGGGTAAAAGATGAAAACAAGAAAAAAGTGAAATAATTAAAAAAAAAAAAAGGAAGTTTCCCACAGACAATACAATCTTAATTTAATGTCAACTCTACAATGATCATACTTCAATCCCTTCAGAACATTGAACAACACACACCTTTTCTTTCTTTCTTTCTTTGACAGAGAGAAAGTACAAAGAGGGGGAGTGGCAGGGAAAGGGAGAAGCAGGCTCCCTGCTCAGCAGGAAGTCTGATGCGGGGCTGATCCCAGGACCCGGGGATCATGACCTGAGCTAAGGCAGATGCCTAACCAACTGAGCCGCCCAGGCACCCCAAGGAACAACACTTTTCTGATCAAGTACTGCTACACATAAAAGTGTCTGTCTAGAATGTCCTGCTAGGTACAAAGGTTATTTCATTAAGTACTGTTAACTTCTTTCCCAAATCCATTCCAACTGAGCCACGCAGGCACCCGTTATCTTTTATCTATAGTCCCTCATCCTATTCTTCTCAATTTGAACAAAAACTCACCGCAAAAGTTTAAATTAAACTTCAAATTACTGAAAAGTGCTATTTAAAAAAGCATGGGGCACATGGGTGGCTCAGTCGGTTGAGTGTCTGACTCTTTTTCAGCTCAGGTCATGATCTCTTGGCCATGGGATGGAGCCCTGACTAGGGCTCCCTGCTCAGCAGGGAGTCGGCTTGTCCCTCTCCCTCTGCCCCAGCTCATGTGCACGTGCCTGGGCACACTCTCAAATAAATAAATAAATTAAATAAATAAATAACAAAACAAACAAAAAATCCCAATAAAACCCCCAGCCACATAAAATTTCATTAAAACAAGATATACTAGTATTAAAAAAAAAAAAAGTCTAGTCAGGGGAAGGCAGATTATGACATGTAAATTTTCCAAATCACAGAGTTTATGCATTTACTTTTTATAGTCCAACTATTTTCTCAAGCTCAAGAAAAGTATCTTTGACCTTTGACAGTCCCACTTAAAAAGAGCAATGTCCAATAGTCACCATAAACTTAAGAAGTGGATAGTATCAACTTCAGCTAGCTGAAATGGTGAGTTTAAAATAAGCCCCCAAATAAATAAATAAAACCCGATCCCATCTTAGAAGTTACACATCATTTTCCAAGTTACACATGGCAATATTAATAATCTTATCCCCTAGGAACATTTTTTAAAAAGTAGTCCTTAATGACAAGGGTAAAAGAAATGCATTACCAAACCTGATTTTCATAGAGGATTCACTGAAACCCTTTACAAATGGTTTTCCCCCCTCCCTTTTTAAGTAGGCTCCATGCCGGGCATGGAACCCAATGCGGGACTTGAACTCACCACTTTGAGATCAAGACTTGAGCTGAGATCAAGACTCGGACTCTTACCCGACTGAGCCACCAGGCACCCCTTACTAAAACACATTAAAATATGACAACTTATACTGACTACAACTTACTGATGGTGCATATTCCCATGAAAGCAAAAGCCCTACATTTTTTAAAAAACATTTTATTAGGGGTACCTGTATGGCTCAGTCGGTTAAGCGTCTGCCTACAGCTGAGGTCATGATCCCAGGGTCCTGGATCAAGCCCCGCATTGGGCTCCCTGCTCCATGGGGAGCCTGCTTCTCACTCACTCTCTGCCTGCAGGTCCCCCTGCTTGTGCTCTCCCCCTCTTTCTCTGGCAAATAAATAAAATCTTAAAAAATAAATTAAAAAAATTTTAAATAGTAAGATTTTATTAAATAAAATTTTATTAATTTATTTTAGAGCGAGAACGGGAGGGAGAGCAGAGGGACAGGGACACAGACTCCATGCTGAGCATGGAGCCCAACACCGCACATGGGGCTCAATCCCAT